GCTTTGTGTCTTGCAACACAACAGGGTAACCCTGGTAGTTCTCATGAAAATGCCTGGTATCTGCACTGGTACTCGAAAAGTATCTGTAATCCCTATATATATTAGTGTAATATAAATGGGTAAGCCATATTAGTCCAGTAGACAAGATGTGGCCATGTGCCGGATCCACACATTTGCAGACCGCCACAGATCTACTCCAGGTCTCATAGACCTAACAGAGACTCGCAGTGTGTCTTCGCATGTACGGAATCTGCGCAAGCGCACAGCTCTTAGCGCTCTGACAGAAAACTGCAGCAAACTGCGCATATTTGGCAGATCTGGTGCATGCATACACATGCCACGGGTGTGTCTCTGCAGGTCCTTGAGAGAGACTCATGGTGTGTCTACTCATACGCCGGATCGACACATCTGTAGACTGCCACAGGTCTACGCCAGGTTCCATAGACCTAACAGAGATCCCTTAGTCTGCACAGGTCCCTTTTAGATCTGGCAGAGAACTGCAGCAGTCTGTGCATGTGTGGTAGATCTGGTACATGCCCAGACATGCCTTGGGTCTCACCTGTGACATGTCTGCATCAGGACATCGCTGAATTTATTTTTTATAAACTTGTTAATTTTTTTAATTCATTTCTTTATTAAATATTTTTTACTTTTTAGAGGCTTCGGGGAACTATTGGGGGTCTAAACAGACCCCTGATATTTCCCTTTTAAAATAGAAAAAGAGATTGAGGACACAATCTCTTTTTCTGCAGCCCCTGTTATCAATGAACAGGAATCCTCTATACTGAGTGTTCCTGTTCATTCATAACATGGGAACATAGTGTGTTTACTATAACCACAATCATAAATGAGCAGGAAGTGATGTAGATCATTTTCCATTCATTCATAATTGAGGATATATTAACCATACTATGTCCTCAATTATGTACAAACACTCAACGATCACTGAGTGTTTGTACTCGCTCTCCATTCTGACATGCGACACACAGGAGGCTGGGCGAATGGTGCAGGGTGGAGAGCTCAGCATCCTGTGACAGCGCTGGCTGTCTCCGCCCACACACCGCTCTGCTGATCTGTGACAGGAGGCTGAGCGGTGCGGGAAGGTGAAACACCGGCCACTTATAGCGCTCTCCTCCTGCATTGCTCGGCCGCCTGTGACACTTTCTCTCCTTCCCGCTGGGACACAGAGCAGCGCCCAGCGGGGAGGAAAGAAAGCAAGGATGCGCCAAAGAAAGCGAGGATGCGCCGCTGTATCGGCAGAAAATGGCACTTTCCGCATTAAGCCAAAAGTGCCATTTTCGGCCGATATGTTTCGGTGGCCGATATATCAGTGCATCCCTAACTTATATACATCACATTTATGACGTTCTGTTCTATAATCCTCATTAGGGGGTAGCATTTATATGTCTGGTACGTTTTTTTTTTTTAAATGATCTCTTCCGCGCTCTTAAATGATCTAGTTACTGCTGTTTGCTGTCGGGTATCATGGTAATTACAAGAAATAAAAAAATCAAATGATGAGAAATTGGTTTCACACCTGCTTACTAATGGTCTATGAATAGCAAGAACGTGAATGCGTGTTTGTAGGTCTAGAAATAAGATTTGCTCGCAGCAGGTTTCAGTCTGGGCTTTGCAAAATTAGAAGTTTGGTCTGCAAGGAAACACTTGGGAGATACGTGTGGAGTTCATTATTAGCACATTTATATGTGGCTTCCTTGCTAGCAATATTCTGGAGGTATTCTGTGTACTATTTTTATTGAAGACATTTTGGGTTATGATGCAAGATCTCTGGAATGTACTTTTACAACAGTCTATGCAGATGTAGGGCATTTTACTGGCTTGAAGTAATTAGATGACTACTGAAACTTTTGGGTTGGAGATGATTGGGGTGCTTTGG